GTTGGAAGACATGGCCATAGAAATCTTTGACAGCTACAAGTCTGGGCTTGTCCTCCCCATGCTGTAAGACAGTGAGGAAACTGTGCCCTGAATCTTCCTCCTTTGCTCTTAAAAGACGATGGTATTACAGAGGGCAGCCATTCCAGGTCCCAGGACCTTGCACACATATCTTATTTGCTCTTTAGGGGTGCAGACAATGTGAACTGAAGAAGAGGAAACATTGAGAAGTTAAGGACATGGTCTAATCACACACAGGCAGTGAAGTTAAGTCAGAAGCTGATCTCAGCCTGCATCCCTCCTACTGGTCTGTGTGGAGATGCTAGCTTGATAGTAGTATGCAAGCTCTGATAGGTTATGTATGAGATCATAAGGAAACATGGAGAACACAAAACACATCAGATTAGAACATGCTCTGAGTAGGAGACCTGGGGCAGCTTGACCAGGAAGCCTTTCCGAGATAACACGTGAATGGAGATTGCAAAGATGGGCACAGACAACATGCAGGTATACAAGACAGTGCCCAGTCCAAGAGAAACATCTGGGAAGGAGTGCTTGTCCCCCCAAGCAAGAAGAGCTTGGGATGCTTTGATAGTTTGGATACTGACTATCCCTGACGGCCAGGTTCCCTTGAAGGATATTTGGGAACTCTGGTCCCTTCTACTTTCTTTGCTTCACGGAGTTGTTTTTGTTCACCATGTCTTCTATTATTATGTGCTACCTTGCCATAGGCCCAAAGCATCCTAGTTAACAAACTATGGCTTAACCTCCTTCCCCCCACTGTGAGCCTAAATAAATATGCTAATTATCCAGGGTATTTCATTATAGTGAGGCAGAGTTGACCAAGGCAGGTAGAAGAATGCAGTTGGTGGTGGGTAGACCTGCTGGAGGACAGATGGAGCAAGCAAGCAGGCATTCACTCCACTGACATGAACTGGCTTGCATTTAAACAAAGCTTGCATTTTTGGCCACTGCACAGAGTGGGTAAGTGGATGCAGGTACATTAGTCAAAGACATCTGACGCTGGGAGGCTGGCAGAAGGCTGAAGGGGAGGAAGATGGGGGTGAAATGCCAGCACATCCTTCTACATTCTGATGTAGATAATGCAGAGAAGCAGGGGCTTTTAAAGGCAGACATTAACAGGGCCTGGTGACATACTGACTTAAGAGCAGTAAGGGTGAACCTGGGACAGACCTTATGGGGAGTCAGTAAATGGTAGAACTGAGCAACTGGCCTGAGCAGACACAGGAGCCAGAAGACAGGGGTCCTGGCAAAGGAGGTAGCCACTTATCTCAGCATCCTAAAAAGAGGAAATATGTGACCACAGCACCTTTTCAGATGGAAGGCCTGCCCTCAGAGCAGAGCCTGACATCAGTGGGTATAATCAGCTCTCAGCTGCTGCTTCTGGCACAAATCAGTATGTCTGTGATGGCATCTGATACCTCTCTCTAGAAAACTAGGAATTGCATTTTGGAGTCAGATTTGAAACATCACAGCCCAGTCCTATCAGTCCTGAAGCTGTGAATCACAACTACGGCCCTACCCCACGTCAGCCAGCAGCAGCTATAAGATGCCCTGCAGAGTTGAGAGATTCCTATCAGCATCCTCTTCTCTTCCTTCAGTTATTTTCTGGTGTCTGTTGGTCCAGTGTTAGAGAGAAACAAGGGGCAGGACCCAAGCGATGTGGAGGTTGAGGATGCCTAGTCTACTGGCTCTGCTGCACCGCTAGGTTGAGTTCCAGATGTTAGAATCACTTCCCAGAACACCAAAGGGAAGTAGTGTTTGCTGTGCATCAGATTCTTTTGGTATGTATTTACTTTAAGACCTGACTACTGTTCAAATGAGAGTGAAAATGATGAGTTGAACTGTAGAGACCTCTAGAGACTGAACCTCTAGCTGAAAGTTACAAAGACAACTATTTGCCAAAGGTGTTCTATATACTGCTCAACTTTGTGTGGATGCTGAGCCTTCACAGTGATTTGTGACTCTGTTTTATGAAAAAACAATGAATACCATGGAGTGGGTAAGGTCATACACTCTTTGACTAGAGGCCAGGATTCAAGTCTGGAGTATTACACTTCTATTGCTGCAATAATTTCACATTGTATGCAGTCTTGTGCCACAACCTGAAGACTATGCTGTATTGTCAGAAGTCTGTCATGGGCTTACACAGCACTTGCATGCTAACTATCATCCAACACCATTATCTGTGGCCAGGCTCTGTTCACCCAAGGCACTGTAGGGTAAGGAATCAGTAGCAGAACATGGGATATCATCAAAGATCAGGTGAACATGCTGCCTTACTCAGTCATCTTTACAGGAGGAGAATAAAGTGAGCAAGCATGAGGGCAAACATGCAGACGGGGTAGTTACCAGCTGTAACCCAAGCATGCCTACAGTAAGATGGGAGGCGGTGGGTGACTGGACAATCACCCAGAAGCTCTCAAGCCAGGTAGGCTGGGGCAGGCAGCACAGCTCAGGAACGAGAGGTTCTGTTCTGCAAGGTGAAAGGTAAGAACTGACTCCTGAAAGTTGTCCTCTGACCAAACACACACAAACTTCTTTGGCTTTGTTTTAAAGTGAGCAAGAATTATGCAATTATGTTGCATGACTTCCTAGGGAAGACATGAACAAACATCCACTTATTACATATAATGCACCTCCAGATCAAAGAATTAACTTCACCCAAGTCTAGCTCACTGACCCAGTGATCTTAACTGAGGTAACTTAGAGGCAGCTGAAGTATACTCCACTTGCCCAGCAACCATGCTCCACCTTGTGAGGATCTTAGGTTATTGTTGCTGGGATATAGAGATGGCAAGAGCCACACCATTCCCGGAGGGCAGATTTCCACACGGGATAATCAGAGGGTTACAGAGGCAGAATGACTGCCCCTGGGCAAGTGTGGGTGTACAGGGCACACACTCAGAGTACAATAGCGTATATACAACAGGGTGGTTTAGCTGACAGGATCTGGTGGGAATGACACAAAAAAGCACCAGAATATAGCACGCTCCAAATCTCCAGGAAAACTCAAAGTTGACCTTGTGGTACATCTTTCAAGGACATCTTACCAGCCACATGTTTGGGACTGTGGGGCATGGAGAAGGCAGCTCAGGGTTTGGGATACAGTCGTTCTGAAGTGGGACCGCATAAAATGCTCTCCTTTCAGGGCAGCTTTCTGCTACACCGCTATGATTCTTTCCAGGTTATACTGGCTTACACTGCCTTTCATAAAAGTACACACAATCAGCAGACACCTTGAGAGCACACCACTTTCGGGTGACAGATGCAGAAGCACAGCACATTACAGTGCCACCGAGACTTGCCTGAGGGCACTCAACTGTCCTTCTTCAAGCAAACCCTTCGCACACCTTGCCAGGGGGCACATGCGAGTTGGCTTTTCCCTTTTCAGTCCATGCTAATCTGTACGACTCTTTTCATTTCCTAGCCCGTTTCTGAAGTGCTTTTTATGATCAATCCAGCATTCGCAGCAATCAGATAACCTCTCCTCCAGATAACCTGGGTGTTCTCAGGCATGCTACTCACTAGGCAGTGTCTCCCTTTCCCACTGTCCACCAAGTGGTACAAAATGGTGTGGGGCAGGGATAAGTAGATGTCACAGGCCTCATGCAGGAAACCATAAAATTAGAGAAACCCAGAGATTATTTAGGGTGCAAATCACCCGTCCCCTTTCTAAGACAAACAGAAAGCTGACGCCATACCTGCCACGCCCTCTATCATAGACCCTGTAAAGAGGGTGAGGTACAAGTCCTAAGATGCACTGGGTACAGACCCACTGTAATGAATGGTCCCCAAACAATAAAGGGCTCAACACATCTCTCAGTTCCCCATGCTAAGCTTGGAAACAGGCTTAAATGAGCCCTCTTTTCCATCTCACTGCTCTCTCAACAAGGTATCTGGTTTCCAGGCCCATATTCATACCTCCAGCTGAACTGGATCTGTCCTTATAAGTGACCCTAAGATAAAGGTCTCATCTCACATCTGCAATGGGTTCTGACTATGGAGAATGAAAGTAAGTCCTGGTGTTCTGTCCTTGCTCAGTGTTCCAATTCTGAACCTCAGCTTCCAGTCTTATTATCTTTGAACACCTAAGCCTTGCCCATCAGCCCTCATTTCACAGAACGGCTCACCTCCTTTGCACAATACTCTCTTCCTCTCGTCAGAACCTGTCCATTCCCTTGACACAGACTTTGCTCTCCATACATTTTTTTGACTCCTCTCACCAATTTCCAGCAGTTTCACAGTATGTTTTCATTAACTGATGAAATAAAACTTGTGTTGGAAACTTAACATTTTCAAAGTATATTTGAAGAATCTCATTTTCAAATGAGGTTAAAATACTGGTATATAACCTTAAAAATGTAAAATATTTTTAACCACAAAATCAGTACAAGTAAACCATCCTCACTTAGATATATCTGACAGATTTTAAAACAATACTTTAAAATATGTAATACCTATATTAGCCAAACAAAGAACTACATTTTATGACTGGGTGGAAACCTTGATCATTCATCTAAAAATAAGCCTGCAGCTAACAGTCTGATGTCAAATTCTATAGGCTGTTTTGCACTCAGGAAGAGACCATGTCCACCTACATGCCACTCACCCATCAGCAATGCTGAGACCCTGTGCACACAACAGACACAGGCTCCAAGCTCAAATCTCCTGCTTGCTTTGACAGACACAGATGATACTGACTTTTGCCAAGTGGCCACAATGGCAGCTGTTTTATGCAGTTACTAGATCAAGGGCACTGAAGCAAGTTCCTTTCTTAAAGTTTCTCTAGTGATTTCAAACACAAGAACAGCAAACTTCGATCAAACTATACACCAGCAGTGATGACCATGATAACAATGTGTGTACAATCCAAACCTAAGACACTTGCCCTACTGATAATCTTACCGCAATCCACAGGAAACCCTAAAACCACCTGGAAAAACCACAAGTTTGTTTTGCTTTCAATGAAAAACTCTTACTTCCATACCACTTTTTTTTATTTAAAATATTATAACCAATTGACATACTAGATAACACTGTTTACATCCAGTGGTGCATGTATAATGACTAGGGCATGAACACGTAAACCACAATAATGATCTCAGCATTCCCTACAAAGTGCCCCATTTTGTTTTGTCTAGAGAGGAGAGGGAGAAGAAAACAAACACGGAAAAGGAGAAGGACGAAGAAGTAATGACATGGACAGGGAGAGAGAGAGAAAGAAATTCTAATTATCACCCTTAGGTTCGCAGGTTTAAAACCTTATTAACAGGATAAACTGCAATGAGAAAATAGATGTCACAGTCCGGGCAGACAGCTACTTCAGTTTAACTTTATCGTTCAGCTATAAGATTAACAGCTTCTCAAAAATATACCAAATATTGGGCCTACAAAAGTAATTTATTTCTTCGTAAAATTTACTAAGATTTACTCCTTTTGTAAAATGTAAAGCATGGACTGATATCTTGAGCAGGTTCCTTACAAAAACAGTGATAATGTCAATAAGCACAGCTAGCACGATTCCCCAGACACAGTGGAAGACTACTACACAGGACTGTCTCTTACTGATGCAAGGCATGCACTTCACATACTTACTGTATTTTGTCAACAGTGATCATAAAGTATGCGACACACATTTATAATTCACACTCAGTGAAGGATCTAACATTAAGGGCAACAGCTTACTTGGGAAAGCATAGAAATCAGTGTGAGGTAGTTCAATAAAAACCTAGTTTAATTTTAAGTCATTGTGAGAATAGGACATTGTGCAAAACTAATCCACAGGTACTATTTCTCAGAAGTTTTGTAACGAGAATCTAACCCAGAAATGCCCAGAAGGTTACTCTTACTAGACTCCCCTTAAGAGCACTTTGACTAAGAGCAGTTACTTTGAAATTAATTAGGGCACAAATTTTCCTATCTTACCCCAACTACACATTTCTGCTTCAATGCCCTTTATTTCATCCATCTGTCGTGCTATGAAGACAAATTTGCTTCCTGTGGTCCAGGAAAAGCCTAAGAGATCAGTAGAAACACAATGCACACTAAAATCTAACAGGCCAGGGAGCAATGCTGAAGAGGGCTACGGATGAGACGGTGCTGGGTCCGCTACTCACTGGGAACAATTAGTGGGGTCCTGGGGCATCATGCATCCACCCTACAGCTAATGTGTGACTAATGGGCAACACTCACAAACTACAATAGCTCTGAAAATATACTATGCTTTTATCTCAAAATGCTGTGCAGGCTAGTGCCTAGGCAACACTGACGGTTGTCTTCATGTGTGTGGCAGAAACTGGCCAATAGTGTAAACCAAGTTCTATTTCTAACTCAGGAAACAGCTTCACTTGCCTGCTGCTCATTTTGTCAGTAGGCCTCTCTGCCTCCATGTCTTGAGGTCAACAGAGTGAGATGAGCCCAGAAGAGTTCCACACTTACAGGAAAGTTGCTGCTTTGAACAGGTAGGGACTACGGCTTCTCTTACAAGTGGGATATGAATGCACTGGGCTTTGTTCCTGGTGTGCACTCAGCAGCATGGCATGACACAGTAAAAATCACTTAGCAAATAGCATGAAAGAGTTGAGATGCTCTATTTATAACAAGCAATCCCAACAACATGGTCATCTTAGAGAAGGTCAGTATAGTAGGGGTAAGAGAACTGTAACCAGGAAGACATGTAGGAAGAATCCGTGTCTCTTTCCTAACCTAATTCTCAGTTAAACAACTTTTGGACAGTAAAACAACAGGTAGCTTAAGCATATATAACTGAAAAGTCAAATTATAGGATGGCTGAATTCACAAGTACTGCTAGACAGAAAGGTTATTTGTAAATTCTTAAAAAAATACTTAAAATGCTTTAAGATCCTAAAAGTACCAATATTTATGTGAACAGGTTTAAGCAAGAGGGGGAGTTGTGTAAACAATGAATCTTAAAAAGCTAGGGCACACACATTTAACAAACAACTTACTTTTAGGGTATAATTTTGTTAAGTATTTTAGTTTACATTAAGCATTGAAACTGAAACACGATGGCTGGCAAGTGGGAGCTGGCAATTACAACAAATGTACAATCAGAACAACTGTTACTTCTCACTTAACCAAAATCTGCATCAAGAAAGATGGCTTCTCAGCAATCAAACATAAAATACAGAAAACTAACGAAGCATGTCAGCTGCTAAAGTGCAATAGTGACACATTTTATCCTGGGAAAACAAACCAGTTAGCTGTAGAATTAATATAAAGTAAGAACACACTCATGCTCCAATTTCTGCTAAAATCCTGACTCCAATCTTGTATTTCTACAGACCAAGAGGCATAAGAGTCTCAAATTCATACTTGCCTAATAAAAATTAATGCACCATGTTAAATGTAGAGAAAAGGAATCACTAAAAGGTGGGAAGCTAGAAATCATAATAAACTAACTTTGCTATATCTCAAAGTATAAAAAAGCTAATGTATTTTAATCTTAAGTATTGCACATTAACAATGACCAAAAATACCTTACTTAAAAGTAATTCTACACTAAATATACAAAAAAAAAAAAAGCAAAAAGCTAAGCAAACTTTCAGAAATTTGCTGAGCTGTGCCTGTTCTTAGTCCTGCTGGTTGTGAGCTCCAAATGGCTTCTCCCTACAACCTTGCAGCTCATGAAGTATGTATTTCCCAGTTCAATCCATGAAATCCCTCTTGTTTCAGACAATACCAAAGGTGCCTGGGCATTACAGACATCATTTCAGAAATAATGAGACCTTGATGACATTTTACTTAGGAAAATTCAGTTACAGAGAAAGGATTCTGTAGATAGAAAATGTAAACAGTTAACACACACTTGTCAGGAGCAGCACCATTCTTACACTACTCAACGTCCACACTGCGTATTCTATTGGAAACCAGATATAAAAAAATCAAAGACTGAAGAACCACCACTATGCCTGCTCTGCTCACTGTGAAGAAACAGTCCTTAGAAAATGACATCCTACATATGGCTGTGTGCTACTATTTTCAGATGAACGGTATATTGCTCATTTAAACATCACCTACACAAATTTAAGTAGGCTTTGGAACCTCCTGACAGCTAGTAAAAATAGACTTATGCTACAGGTAGAATCAAATGGCCAGAAACACCACAAACTGGTGCTCAACAGACTGACCCTCCAAAGAACAGGAACTGGGAAAGGTCCAGAGGCCAGAAGCTGTACAAAAGAGAAGTCCAGACTCTTGGCCAATGCCAGGACCTATAGCCTGAGATTAACTCAGTGTATACAGAAGCAGGCTCATAGATAGTACAAGGGAAACAGCTGTTGATTTGCATTGAAATGTATATTCATGAAGTATCCTCTTGACTGTATACAATCGATCGAAAGCTTTGAGCATGCTACAAAACTCAGAACAGACCACAATTCTTGATTTGAGCTTTTGTTGGGTTAGGGTGGGGAGCTCCAAATGGGAGTAGGATATGCTCAGCTTCTTTAAAGACATGCTCCGAGTTATCCTGCCATTTAGAGAGCAGGGTGTTTGCCAAAATTTAAGTAAGGTTGCCTACTAATTGTTGTAACTAAATTGGGATTGGCAAGTAACAAATATTGGAGGTTTCTTGACACGTTCATCATTTACAGTAGTTATTCCTGAATATAACTGGCTACAGGTTATTTTCCCTTACTCCTCTGGGGTTATTTCATTGATAAGCACATAACCCTTAAGGATAGCATCATGAACAAACATCTGAAATAAATTCTAATAAAAAACTTATAAACATCTTAAATAATTCATGATATATGCAAGTCACCACATAATAGTTGCTTTGATAAACAAAAATCTTACAAATTCAGTAAAAAAAATCAGCAGCATAAGATAAAGCAAATATGCAAAAAATTTAAACCATGATAAAATAATTAGGTTTACATTATACAGTTAATTACAGCAAAAATACAATACAGTTTTGTTGCTGTTTAAAAACACAACTTAGGTTTTAAATTACAACACTTGAAATTAAAAAAAATAAACTACTTTACTACAAAATGAATTCTACATTTTCTGAAAAATCACTCAAAAATATGACCACTGAATTGTTTTAAAAGCAGTTCTATCCATGACTAACCGATTGCCCATCCCTCCCACCCCCCCAAGGCCCAAGTAGTCATCTACAGCAGCCTAAAGGTCCAGCAGATGCTTCTAGACTGCTGTCTGTATCCGAGGCCAAAGTCGGATCTGTGGACATTGAAGACACATCATTGACAGACGGTGAAGACGATGGGTGCTGAGAGCCGTTGATCACTGCTGCACCTGTGCTATGAGAAACAAAACAGCAAATCAGTTACTGTGCTGCCCACCTCCAGTGTCAGCATACTACTTCTTCTGAGCTTACGGGGTGCGAACCATAGTGAACCTAACGCTAGTGTTCTCTCATTCACACAAGCTACGAGGGAAGAATTCTTAAAACGCCTAGAAACCTATACTCCTGTCCTTTTTTATTGCATTGTGAGTTTAAGACAAGAAATCAGAAGTCCAAGTAACATGGAGAATGGCCCTATAGCAAGATTCACAAATGGGCCTCAGGGTATATTCCAGAAGAGTTGTGAGCACATAGAAAACTATCTATCTTGCCCTTTGTTGGAGAGAATTCTCAAAGAGCCAAATGACTAAAAGCAAACTTCGAGAACTAGAATATTACAGAAAGTATTACTTTTGATACTGTCACACACACACACACACACACACACACACACACACACACACACACACACACACACCCCACAATGTCAAAAGGATACTTCTGGAATACCTTGCAAAGCAGAAGTCAACACAAAAGAGCAACACTTTGATGAAGAGGGACCTTAATCAACTGTCCCACTATGAGACTGTGTGCCTTCCCAGCCTAGTTAGGTTAAATTCAGGTTTTACTTTGATTCTAGTAAACGCCAGGCAAAGACAAATACAGACTTACTAAACAGAGACAGGAGCAAATGCTTCCTCTGCTAAGAGTAGTATCTAACAAGCATTTCCTGCATTATAAAACCAACCTTCCACACAAATAGACAAGAATACCTTACACACAGACAAAAATTCTTTCAAGGGGTAGGCCTCATTCTAGGGTAGGAGTATGTTAAAGCAACTCAACAATAGATAGCAACTTTCAAGTCTCAAGCTTACTAAATAAGGGTAATTTAGAAGCACATAAAAGTTCTCAAGAACACATTTTCAGAATAAAAACAGTGGAATTCAGGGCTCCAAGATGCTGAAAGCAAACAGGTAGAAAGTCTACTGAACCACATCTCAGGGGATGAGATTGTCCCCATTCTGCAGAATGATGAACAAAACACTCAGATACAAGAGGTTCACCCAAAGCTTATTTCCAACTGTGACAAAAGTACTGAAAACAACACCAGTACTTGATAGCGTGTGCAGCAAATTCTGTAGTGAAGCTTTTATTTATTCCAACTGAAAGCTGTTCCAATCAAAACACAGCGAATGCAAAGAGAATTCTTTAAAGCAAGGCCAATAAAGGCAGGGTTAAATCAGTATGACAGAGACAACAGAAAAAAAAAAAAGAGAGAGAGAGAGAGAGACAGCAGTATGTCAGTGCTTCCAAATTTAACTATAAAATTGTAACCAGCAAACTGAGTGAGCATGGTGAAGAACTGCAGGTCCCAGGGCACTGAAGATTGTAACACAAGTAAATTACAATCACAACCACAACGGGTCTATATTGTAACCAACCTAAAGGAGATGGCTGCCCTCTTATGACTCCATTCTTAGTTCGTTCCTCCAGGTCCATCACCTCCTTGTATATTAATTCTGGGGGAAAAAAAAAACAGGAAAAATAAGTGCTTTGAAATCAGAGTGAACCTCAGAAGGTATGTATATTTTAAGTCAAAACTTGTGTTATCTGTTAAGTATGCCAATCTGAGTCTTTGCAATGACAGCAGATAAAGTTGAGTGTCAGGTTCTGATTCACAGATGTTAACAACTCCCTGACCTCCAACCACAGACTACACTGAAGACAGTGCAACTCTCTGCTGTAACTGTTTATGCTGGCTAATGGGCAGCTGCTGCCAGAGCCCAGCAAGGTATCACCCAAACAGCATTCTGCCTCACAGACGCTTGTCTAATTTTGTCTAAGTGAGGGTTAGAGTCTGTGCTTATCTTCCTTCTACTTCTCGAGTCCTCACCTTACGCAACAAAGCTGTAGTTACAAAGATTTATATATATAAAAAGCAGTGTTTACAATTAGAATGGGACAGGAGACATTTTTATTTAAGCAAAAGCAGCAGTAGCTTCAGCTCCTTCCAAGTAGCCTACAAAAGGCATTGCACCAACAAGCACCAACACCCCTTCCTAAGACTCTTGTATCCCTGAGTGAGAGCAGCAGCAGAGCAATACAAAGACAGCTTTGACAGATTAAAGGCACAGGGTGCAGTATGTACCCCACACCCCACTCTTCTACATGATTCTGACTTCTCCATTACCATTATTTAAATCACCTTTGGGTCACGCACTCTTTGAAAAATTACATAAAAGCAATTCCTTGAAAAATACCCAAACCAAAAATGTACAGAATTTCAAAGAATTTGTATTAATTCCCAAAGTTCAAGGTTTTATATATAAATAAAAAATCCCACTAGAGGCCAGGCATGGTGACACATATCTGTAATCCTAGTAGTTGGGAGACTGAGGCAGGGAGATTACAAGTTTGACGTCAGTCTGTACCATACACATGCTTTTATTTCAACATTCTCCCAACCATCAAAAGTATCATCAAGAAGCTGAATACTCAATCAATCAATAGGCTAACCAATAAATGGGAAAATTCTCTTTCAATTCAACAGAAATTTCTCAAAAAAATACAAATGGACACTATATAAAAAAAAGCAATATTCCAAGCCATCAGAACATACAAACATAATACCAAGATTCTATCCAACATCAGTCAGAATGGCTACTATTCATCAAGAAAACCAATGGCAACAAATGCTAGCAAAAATGTGATAGAAAGAAACCTTCATAAATATCAGTGGAAATAGAAATTAGAGTAGTCACTACAGAAATTGCAGGTTCCTCAAAACATTAAAACAACAACAACAACAACAACAATTCCAGGGGCTGGAGAGATGGCTCAGTGGTTGAGAGCACTGATTGTTCTTCCAGAGGTCCTGAGTTCAATTCCCAGCAACCACATGGTGGCTCACAACCACCTGTCATAAAATCTGGTGTCAATTTCTGGCCTGCAGGGACACATGCAGGCAGAACATTGTATACATAATAAATAAATCTTTATTAAAAAATAAATTCCATTAAAGGAATCTAAGGAAGAATATAACAGATACCTACATGCCCACTGTTACTGAGACACTATTCACAGCAGTAATATGTACTATTAGCCAGATGCCCACCAAGAGCCCAGATTCCCAGCAACAGCCCAGAAGTCCACCAACAGCCCAGATGCCCATCCATAGCCCAGATGCCCACCAACAGCCTAGATACCCATCAAAAGAAGAAATGTGATGAGACAAGATGTGGTGGTACACAGAAGTATAATCCCAACACTCCAGAAGCAGGCAGTTCTTGGTGAGTTTGAGGTCATTTCGGACTATAGAGTGAATTCCAGACCAGCAGAGTGCATTTTAGGCCAGCAAGAACTATATAATGAGATCTTCTCTCAACAGAAAAATGAACGAACAAACAAAACAACAACAAAAACCCAAATGTGCAAGGTAACTTTAGTCAGCCATGAAGTAGAATGAAATTATGTCATTTGCAGGAAAACAGAACCAGAGTCTCATGTTAAGTAAAGTAACCTGACTCAGAAAGATAAATATCACACATTTTCTTTTATATGGAACCTGGATTTGACAATGTAAACACATATGACACAAAGGAGCCAATTAGCGGGAGAAAAGGACAAGTAAGAAGGTTAAGAGAGGGCATGAGGGATCAAAGGAGGCTAATGTACACAGAATGATACACATATCTGGAAATGTGACAAAACCTGTTACTCTGTACACTAAAATAATAAAAGAAAAAGTGTATTTATGTGTAACTACATTCATAAATTAGGAAAAAACTAGATCTGATGTTCAAAGATGATAAATGAAGCCATTAGAGTTAGAATGGAGGTGGACTGATACCTTTGTGTCATGTTGACAGAAGCAAAACTAGTGTCTTTGATTAAAACCAAATAGGAAGTAATTAAAACAACATTTGGTCAAGCACATCTCCTTTTTGGACTGCTCTCTCTGTTATATTCAAATATATGCACACAAACACATGGTGACAGCAAGGCTGTGTTAAGGTCCAACTTTAGTGCACATCACAAACTGAGAGACACAATTCTGTATAGCTTACCACTTACTAGCTATTAAACCCTGCAGGCAGCTGTGTTTACCAAGAGCGTGTCATTTTCAAGACGTATGGGGACATCCATAAACAAGTGAGTATACAACACGAGATACCCCAAACATGGGTGCAGAAACAAAGAAAACAGTAATGTGCCTACGACTGAGGTGGAAAATTTCAGAAATTACAGAAGGAAAAAAAACTGTCTACTTTTGTAAAACAAACAAATAAACAAAAACTTATTACCAAATATAAGTTATGAAAATAGAAAGCAACATTAATTTCCTTAACGGGAAGAAGCCACTGAAAGAAGCGGAAGTTGCTTCAGTGTCTTAGAGTTTGGTGACTGTTACCTTTCCACTCTTCTATTGTGTGCTCCCTTTCATCTAACTGCTTGTCAGGGATCTTTGGTGGTGGCTGGAAGAGACAAGGCAGTAACAGCTGAGTCAGTTTACTGAAAGTAGATATACTCTTAATTATTTAAAATATCAGTGAAACAAAAGACTTGTAAAAATGAATCGTGAAAAAAGACTAATCAATCATCAGTAACTAACTTTCTACAAAGTAGTTCTATAAGATTCCTTTGTAAGAAATATGATGTCTTTTTTCTTTCTTCCCAACTTTTGAAATTGTCACATTTTACCTGTATTACCTTCTTCTTGGATACAAAACATTAGTTATAAATAAGGCTGCTCCCACAGACATCCTAGCTCCTCTCTAATCAACTATCAATTCAATAGAGTAAAAGAAACAGTGGGGGCTGCCCGACTGTGAGATAGCTTAGCTATGCTCATTAACCTAAGGTTTTCTTCATGCAGAACTAGTAAAGATTTACCATCCTCTACCTTTATTTTTTTAAATGACAAATATATTTCAAACTTAGTTTTAACAATAGCTCTAAGAATGCAGTATGCTCTTCAAACACTAAGAACTTACAGCCTCTGCTTCCGAAGGGTCATACCAGACGTTGATGTATGGGTGCTGGAGAGCTTCATCTACTGAGATCCTTTTGGATGCATCTATTACTAGCATTTTCGATAACAAATCCCTTGCCTGGCTGGCTGCAAAAATAATGATATTAATATACACATGTTCAAGAGATTCTCCAATTATTAACTTTAGAAAGTTGAGGTTATCTTTTATTTTAAAAAAATTATCTTTGTCAGGCATGGTGCATATGCTTGTAATTGCTGAACTAAGGATACGGAGGTAGAAGGATCACAAGGTTTAGGCCAGCTTGGTTCTAGTCCTAGGTTAGCAGAATTACACAGTAAATAGCTACCTCAAACTGAATCAACCAAACTAAGACAAAATAAATTCTATGTTTTAAAATAGAATGCTTTTTATTATTTATTTTTTTATTAAAAGAGATTTGTTGCATTTTCAGTTATGTGTACACAGAGGGAAGGGAGGGGTGTGTGCATGCACACATGAATGCAGGTGCCCAGGGAGGCCAGAAGAGGGTATTAGGTTCCCTGGAGCTAGACTTACAGTTGGTTGTAAGCTGCCTCATATGAGTGCTAGGAACTGAACTCAGGTTCTCTGCAAGAGCAGCAAGCAACCGCTCTAGTCTCTCCTCCTCCTCCCATTTATTTAAATAAATAAAAGACCAGGTCAAGCTATGTACCTAAGTTAGCCTGGAACTCATAACGTAGCCCAAGATGGTCTCATACTCCTCGCACTACTTCAGTCATGGCTTCCCAAGTTCTGGGATTATACTTGTGAACCACCACATTTACAGAATAGTGTTTACTAAAAAACCAGGACACAAACATGATTTATAAAACACACACAAATATTTACTTACTTACTTATTGGTTTTTTTTTTTTTTTTTTGAGACAGGGTTTCTCTGTGTAGCCCTTAGCTGTCCTGGAACTTGCTTTGTAGATCAGGCTGGCCTCAAACTCACAGAGATCCACTTGTCTCTGCCTCCCCAGTGCTGGGATTAAAGGCATGGGGCACCACTGCCCGGCTTTATCTTTCTTTTTGAACTAGACTTTTCATTTTCTTGCCTCAGTTGGCCTTGAACTCAGAAACCCTCCTGCCTCTGCATCCCAATTCCAAGGATTAAAGGCAAATGCCACTATAGCTAGCTAAAATCAAAAGCAACAAAAACTTCCTATGCTCCACTAGCAGACATAATTTTGAGTTAGTCTCTTAAAAATAGGACTAAGCACTCTTCCCACACATGCATACCCAAAACAGAATTTGGTGCACACACTTATACAACTTACCTTTAAGCTTGTTATGCTCTGAGTCAGCTGGAAAAAGCACATCAGGGAACAGTTTCTCAAAGCTATATCCAGCATATTTAGGTCGGTTTTCAACATAAGTCCTTACTGTTGGTTGTAGTTTCTTCATGAATTCAGGACAGGGTGTTCCAAGCTGTTCAATAACTTTATTCCACTGATCAATATCTATTATCAAGTAGCTAAGAAAAATACTCCATGTATAAAATGTTCAACCCTTTAATCATACCCACATTAAATACAAAAAAATGGAAAAAATTTTAAAACTTAAAGAATGTGGCCATTATATATTTTATACCTCAAAGTCACCTTGCAAAAGGCAATGATAGCAAGTAGATAAAAATGATGAATAAATAAATTTGGTTAATCTTATTTATTGTGTATGTGTGCACATGTGTAGGAATATAAAAACATTAACTCTACCATAAAACAGAGGCATACACAAGTAAATTCAAAATAAAAATTATAACTCAAAAAACTATCATTACTATGCATAGACTCAAAATGCAAACTGCATAAAACTTTAATATTTAAAAAGTTGCCTTTCCCTGAGCTCTTCAAAAATGTAAATGCATTTCCTAGAGAGTAAGAAGTATTTCTAGTCTGTACTGTTTCTGAGTTCTCTACACAAAAAACAACCAATACTGATAAAAATGCTGAAGAAGCATTTTCTTTTGCCATTCTCAGGTTTGTCTATATTAATTATGTTTATGAAATGCTGAAATACATGAAAATGGTACCAGTATCTCGGTATGCTGTAGACTAGGATTTCCTGGTCTTGTTCCTTCTAGTCTTTACATTCCAAACCTCCAAAGACTAATGTCCCAAACATTCTTACTGTAACATGGCAAATATTCTCATTGCACCTAAAACAATGTTACTCACTCATAGACACTTCACTGTTAACATAAATGTTAAAGACTGATGAACTAAAAGCATGACTCCCAACTAATTACCAACATAGGAAACTTCTAGCTGACATTCTCAGCATGTTAATGTAATGAGACAGTAAGACACAACATACAGAACAGTAACAGAAAGATGTGGGGGAACTAAACAAAAAGACAGGAGCAACAGATAATCCCAAAACTCATGTTATTTCCCATATAGTTATAGACTTACTCAAGTGTTAGAAATTTTTAGTGGAAGTCGTTAATCAATTCAAAGCCATCGAGGAACTGTGAATAATCACACTTGAGCACTTATTAAAATTACCATATAAAACAATAAAAGAGGAAAACGGAAGTCTATGTCAAGTAAGAGGTGGTATTCTGGAAGAGTAATTTAACAATACTTTGTATTAGGGAGAGACAAAATACATTCTACCTGACCAGGCTGACGCGGTACCATACATTTTGACCTTTAGAAACTACATTTTAGGCCAAAGATAAGGATACGATCTGTACCTGGGAACAAAACACCACCTTTGATCATTTCTCCCATGATGCACCCAACTGACCAAATGTCAACTGAAAACAAAATGCAATGACATTAACATAAAGATTTTGGTTAAAATAAAAAGAAAAATATATAAACATTAAAATAAAACACACACACCATATACACTTAAAATTATAAAAAGCAATACAAAATAAAAATGAGTGACAGTGAATGTGCTCTGACTACCAGCAGAGACTGTATGTCCTACTGCCAGGTGCAGCCTACAAATACTTCAGTTTCTTAGCTCAATTTTTGAACTATAACAGCCACAAACTTTACTTCTATTAAAAAAGAAACCTATATGTACAGTGTAGAATATATTCCTTTTCATTAGCAACCAGAAGGAAGTTCATCACCTAGCTAATTAATCTGCTGCAGCAGCACAAGGATACAGTCCCTTCCTGGAAAGAGGATTTTGTGGCAAACCATTTCTCCCATAATGCACCCCACAGACCATAAATCCACTATATGTTTGCAGCACAAAAGAAGGAAAAGCAAAGCAAAAGGTCATTAAAATCAAAGAAGCATAATATGACTGCATTATCTAAAAACTGCAGAACATCACAAAAAGAAAAGGTGGTTTGATTTCAAATAATGGAATAATTTAAAACAAAATACTTTTAAAAAAGCTCTGAATCACAAAGGAAAATATGAAGTGTTGCATTTTAGTTATATATCTAATTTTAAAGTGAGAGCTATGCACAGAAATTTCATAAATAAAAATTCTTACATTTTATAAGAATTTATTTGTAAAATATAAAGTAGAATCAAACAAACTTTATAAAGTTACAAATGTATGAGATCATAAAATTATAAAAATAAGATGCACTATTTTAAGGTTTGACTGTGCATTTTACTCTCTCTTTAAGTTAAATTTAAAAAGCACAAGCAGAAATAATATAGCATACAAAAACAGAGTGTCTCTGAATTTAATAAAATGTTAATCTAAGTTTTTCTCAGAAAATTTCAAACTGGATTTCACAGGCTTATTGAATTGAAAAGGCTTTATATACTCTGAATTAAAGTCAACTATTTTTTCGCAACTTCATTTTACATTTATACCAACCTCTACCCAAAAAGCAACAAATGCAGAGAAAGAACAGCTTATCTGCTGAGAAACTTGGTAAACACAAGTGTTTTTCAAGTTTTCTATTTTGAAATATCAAAGTACCTACAGATCTGTGATCTACAAAGACTCTCCTAGCAGATTACTGTATTATAAAACTTGCTACAAGGAGTCAAATTTGCTTTCATGCAGTTTAAAATAGATCAATTTACCCCAAACTTTCCAAAATAATCTGAGATTCTCTGAAATAAAACAAAACATGAAAAAAAAAATCTGTGTGTGTGTGTGTGTGTGTGTGTGTGTGTGTGTGTGTATGGGGGGTGGGGAAGGAGATAGGGAGAGAGGGAGGGAGGGAGGGAGGGAGGGGAAAGAGAAGCAGAAAGGAGAAAGGGAGGAGGAAAGGGAGGGAGGGAGAGACTGAAAAGAGGGTATCTGCATGTCATTCCCCATTCCCTGCTGGCTAATATAGTTATGAGGAAGCATTAGATTTGACTGGGTTTGTGGGGAAACAGGCAGAAAAATGTAATGAGACATCTATGTGACTCCGATCTAAGAGAGAACAGTAAATCAATTCTTTGTTTTTAAAGATTGTATTTATTTGTTTATATGTGCGCATTTGTCTGTGTGAGGGTATCTAATCACCTGGAACTGGAGTTACAGATAGTTGTAAGCTGCTGTGAGTGTTGGGAATTAAACTCAGGTCCTCTGGAAGAGCAGCCAGAGCTCTTAACCACTGAGCCATCTCTCCAGGCCCAATATGTCAATCCTTGACAATAGTTTCTCTAATTTCTGATAAGAAGCTATGCCAAGACCATATTTACAAGGACACTAACACATGGTACAACTTGTGATAACCAAAAGTTTCACAGAAAAGCGAAAAGCAATTAGCAATCTGCACTCTGGTTATCTGAAATAGCAATCCTCAAAACAAAACTTTTAAATCTATGTCAAGACTAAGAAAACAACGTATCATGCTTACTTAAATTAACTGATATCTCAAGTATTTGTTTTTAAATAGTTCAAAAAAGAGAAAATTAAACAAGGACCCCAGTTTCAATGGTATCATTATATATATGTGTACACACACACACACAAATGTATGTATGTACATATATGTATAAAGAATCTTCTATTACTGACATAATAGTTTTCTGATTCAAAGTGAGTTACTACTCTAATTTCTCCCTAGAAATACACCACATTAAAAAGTTTAACATATCCACACATATTAATAAATTAAATTTCCTTAAGGTTGGACACAAACTTTGAGGAAACACTGGTGCTTCCCACAAGAGGTTGCATTATCCATTAGCTTTCAGAATTGGATCTTAATGTAGCTCTCAGTTTATAGTGAGTGTTACTATTAACACTGACTAAAGGTGTTGGAGATGCAAGCAAATATGTGCTTATATTAGAAAAAATTCTAATATACACTAGAATTACTACTAAGGTTAAATTATTAATAAGAATATGCTCACATTGAAGTTACAGACAAGCAAAAGGCATAAGTTCTGGTTTTAGAATTCTTTATCTAGGGGTAAGGGTATTCACATTTAAGATAAGGCCCCCATGCTTTCCCAAAAACTTATGGCAAAATGCTCAGATTCTTAATACATGTTTGAAACCAGGATGCACGCTTAATTCCATGCACTTCAATTGAAGTATAAAAAACTTATTGATAAACTAAATCAAAAGCGTATTTCAAAGTGAAAGTATATGCTGACCGTTCTCCTTGTAGCCCATGCCGAGGATGACCTCTGGCGCTCTGTAGTAGCGAGTCACGACATAAGGCGTCATCATAAAACTTGTTCCTGCAGTCCTCGCCAGTCCAAAATCAAGAATCTTCAAAGTACAGTCTGATTTGACTACTATATTACTAGGCTTTAAGTCCTTCAGGAAATAAACATGAAAATGATTGCTAAGACAGATACAAAGGGTTTACTACTCAACTGATTTGCATAAGCTGTCAAACAATGTTAACTGTTCACTGTTTTCTCTGTAATATCACTATAGAGATTCAACAAATAGGCAAACTCAAGAAGTCAGATTTAAAATGTTTTCATTGATATCAACATAAACCTAGTATGGATGTCAATAATGTTTTATTTCCTAGAAATTAGTATTGGCTAGAAATTCTTGGTCAAATAGAGCAGGAGATTTGGAAAGGCATCTTAAAGCTCATTTTAGAACTTTTGTGTGGGGCTGGAGAGATGACTCAGTGGTTAAGAGCATTAGTTGCTCTTCCATAGAACCCTGATTCAATTCCTAGCATCCACATGCCAGCTCACAAATAACTCCAGTTCCAGAGGATTCTACACCTTCACACAGACATACACACAGATAAAACACCATAAAAGAAATAAAAAATTAAACAAACAAAAAACCTTTTGTGCTAGGTACAGCAGTCAATTCTTTGCAATAGCAATACTTGATACCAGAGCAGAAAGGCTGGAAGTTCAAGATACATCGTATACTGCTTAGATTGTTGTTAACTTGACACAACAAGTTAGAGTCACCTGGAACAACCGAGAAGCTGCCTCCACCTGAATGGCCTGCAGACAACTCTGTGGGGAGGTATATTCCTAATCAGTGATTGATGTGCGAGAGCCCAACCCTCTGTGGATGGTGCCCTCCCTGGGCAGGTGGTCCTGGTTGTATTAAGAAAACAGGTTGAGAAAACCATGGAGTTGCAAGCCAGTAAACAGCACTCCTTCATGGCTAATCCAGGCTCCTGCCCCGACTTTCTTCAGCGATGGACTGTTATATGAAAATTTAAGATGAAATAAGACCTTCTGCCCCCAACTTGCTTTTGGTCAGTGTTTTATCACAGCAGTAGAAAGCAAATTATGACACACAGCAAGACCCTGTCTTAAAACATCAATCATAGACAATAAAAGAACTACTATGGTAAGACTCATAAATTATCATTTACATTCATTTGAACACTAAATTACAGCATTAAAAATCCCTATCTAAATTCACAATAAGCTTTATATTACTTTAAAACCAATATGAAACATTCTGCTAAATATTCACATGATCAAATTTGACATAATCTTGGCATATGTTATTTGAACACTCATAGTCATATGTGTTTGCTTTTAAGGGGAGGGAGGCTTGGGATCAACCTCAGTACAATAGATACTCAGCTCTAAAGGAACAAAATAGTGATTATCAGCCTGCCCATTCCTGACTTCCCACATAAAATCACAAACATTTGCTCATAAACTTTTGTTCACATGTGAACTCTTGTGGTGGTGTCACTGGTCCATAAAAATTTCTTCCTGCTGGTAGTGCTACATAATGTCTTTGTGAAAAACTGCCACTTGGTTCCAACCAGAAGGAAATCTGTGTGATACCTATTAAAATGAAGGCAGTGGCATAAATACTCAGGCCTTCGACTCATCATGCTATTGCCTGTGAGCTTTGATGAACACTCATATCACAGGCACACTATCTCACATGCACAAATGAGTATCAGACACAAACACCAAGAGCAAAAGCCTTCAAGACAAAGATCCCTTTTTAAATGTCTACATGCAGGAATTGCTTGTATGCTGTTTCTACCTTATTCTTATAAGCCATCATGCATAGGCTTAGGAAACAGATTCTTACAACAGAAGACAAAAAAGGTTATCATTACTTTTCTGCAAATATAATGTTGCTAATACCTCTGAAATACAGCATATGAAACAAAGGAATATCCATGCTTAAGAATAAAACATTACAAACTTTAATCACTTCCATATCTGTTACTACAGATGGAGATTATTGGCTCTTTATACTAGCTGGTTCTAGTCTAGAAAAAAAAAACTTTTTGTTATGGAATAATTAAGAACAAATACAAATACTTTTAAAAAAGAAAACAGTTTAAGACAATAAATTGCCAAAAGTATTTGGCTCTAAGAATATTAACTAAAATTTATCTTTCTGTACCAATGTTTATCTTTTTACAGATGTCATAATATTGTTAACTACATATGGAAGAGTGCCTTGGAGTTTACATTGGTGCAGAGAGTAGAAATTAATCAACATTCTATCTTCCTTCCCTGATTTTCTAAGCCTCTCCAGTCAGACAAGGAGGCATGAGTAGACCCAGTAGGTAGTGTCTGAACAGGAACAAAGTAGAGGAGGGTCAGCACATAACCTTCTGTGGCTCGTCCCTTACTCTGGTGATTAAGAATACTCCAGACAGTGGGCTTTGTTGGCAGTGGGGTTGTTCATCATCTCTACGAAGCCAAGTTCCCACCCCTACCATGATCTGCCTGTATACATGAGAGAATTCCATAGTCATGTTTACCTAGTATTTGATATTTATTATTATAGCCAAGTCTACTGCATTCTGGTTAACTGACCCAGGACTGGGGAGTTACTATTACAAGTTGAGTATCCCTACTCTGAAATCTGAAAGGCCCAAATTTAAGTCATTTTGAGTAAAACTGATAGTACTCAAAAGGATCTTATATTCACTTTGATGTCTACGCTAAGGAAAACTTAAAGGTAGCCTCAAATTAATCCAAGGATATAGGGCCCATCATGCCAGTGCTTTGAATTTCAGGCAATCTGGATTTCTAACTTTCAGATTTAGGGATGCAATAATCACCTGGTAAAGGTTATGCAAATATCTACAATCTACAACATTCCACAATCTGAAACACGCTGGCTCCAAGCATTTCAGATTACAGACAACGTATTCATGGACATAGGACTATGAGTTGGTGACTGAACAGCACTGAAACCAATAACAAAATGAAAAGAGATCCTAATTACACAAATGCAAAAGTATTTTACGTCATCTGCACAGGACTTGCATAATGAACAGGGGCTGATGACTGAGAGCATGGCTTGTTTTTCAAATGAAGTTTTATGTGAAGTTAGACATGGTCATTTCGTCTCATATTATTTACATCTGCTTTTGTGACAGAAGGGCACAGTCCCAGTCAGTAGCTGTGACAGAGGCCATGTCCAAAAACCAAAATACTTAGAATGTGCTCTTTATATAAGCAAGTCCCTTAACCCCTGCTCTAGAAGAGGTTGGAAAGCAAAACTTGTCTGTTGGTGACTACTAGCTCCACTGAAGGAACTAGCTACACTGATTGCAAGCAGAAATGAAAGGTAACCATGTCATCGTTTTGGATAAACTAAATGCTACTAGAACCCAGGAAAAGGTGACAGATGGTTTAGTTTATCACCGGACCAAGCATCATCCTTTTATATGCCTATCTTGTAACTTGTTTCAGTTAACAGACATGAAAGAACGTGATGCTCACCAAATCTAAAGAGAAATTCTGGACAAAACTCAAGTCAACATGGGAATATTTTATACCATGGGAAAAGAATGTCCCTGGGAAGCAAACCTGAATGAACCTGACCCAAGAAATGGAACAATGTCACATAGTCAACCCTGAGGACCCTAAACAAGCACTGTGCCGTTTCAAGTCACAGACATTCTCAGCTTGTTTCTATGCATCATATTCCCACAACAGAACTGAAGGCTCCTTATCAAATCCTAGAATTGATTAAATCACCTCAGTCTGTCCAAGGAAGCCTGAAGGCTTGAAAGCAGACTCAAGAGAGCTTCAAATAAGTCCAAGAATACAGAAACCATCAGCTAACAAATATGCTTTAGAAAGACATACAATCAAAAAGCTATACTTCTTTCAGCTACTGATAAAAATTGCACAATGAAAAACAAAACTTTAAGTCTGTTGTCAAGAAAGCTGCTAAGCATCTTACATGGGCAGGACAGCAAAGAACTTTCTGCTCCAAATATCAATAACAGAAGACCCTTGTGCTCCTGTCTCTCATAGGTAGGAAGAAGGTCAAGAAAGCTGAGCAGCCAGCCCTTGGGCACACAGCCTTCAATACTCACTTGAGATATACTTAAGAAGGTGATAGTCTAAAATGAGGGTAGTTCTGGGGACCCTTAAACCTGGGGCTATGCCACTAATTAGACAGTGTAACTAACTCTAATTCTAAAATTTTACAATAAGAAAGATTATGTTCTGAAGCCTTACAGCTGGTGTCATATTAATGGTGACTATGGTTTGAGACTGTTTGCATGTGTCTCCCAAGGGAAATGTTGGAACCTGTAGAGGGTGGGGACTATTAGAAAGTAATTATGTCATGGGCACTGTCATCAGAAGAGATTGAAGTCGGTTTTGTGGAATGGGTTAGCTCTCAGAATGGAGTTAGGGTTAAGAAAAGCATCCTACACACTTGGTACCTTTTACACAAATCAGTTTTGCTTTCTGTTTCTCTTCCATACTTGTAACTAACTGGCCTAAGTGATCGTCACCAGAAGTTGATGAGGCTACCTGATCTCAGAATTTCAGCCTCCAAAACAGAGCTAATTCTTTTCCTTATCAATAAACACCTTGCTTTAGGTATTTGTTGTAATGAAAAACAAAATAATCAATGGTGATGGCAAGACAAAGACAAAATTGGATATTTTTGCTATTGTTCTTCAACATTATACTTTCTAGCTAGAACAATGGGGAGGGGGAAGGTGCCCAGACTGAATAGAAGAAGTAAAGCTACAGTACAACTGACATGATCTTTAAAAAAAAAAATTCAGTGTGCATGAACACACAAGAAGAGGTCAGAAAGAAGTACAATGACATACTTTATGACAGAGGAAAGACCATGTGAAGATACAAGAGAGTGCTTATGGACCTCACCAAAACCACCATATTTTAGGCACTGTGAAGTAAGAACCTGCTGTTCCAGCTACTCAACTTACAGTACTAAAGGCTAATGCAACTTAGGAAACTGAAAGATCTTATGGGTCGCAAATTGGAATACTAGATATTGCCAAGATGATAAAGCCACCAAATCAACGTTCAGATTCAACGATATCTTTGTTCAAAGTCTAGTGTTTTTTTCTGAAGAAATGAAAAAGTTGATCTTCAAATTCATATGCACTCAAAGTTTCAAAACTACTGAGAAAGGAGTCAGGATTCGGTTTCCCATTTCAAAGCAGTACAGAGTTACAACTGTAACTGGTGGGTGCAGAGATGGCTTGGTGGTTAAGAGCACTGACTGCTCTTGCAGAGGACCTGGGTTTGGCCTCCAGTATCCAAACGGAAGGTCATAAAATCCTGTAAATCTGTAAATAGAAGCCTATCACCTCTGAACTCCATGGACCCCATATCCTCGTGGAAACATACACATACAAATTTGTAAAAATTTGATTCCAATACAGAGACAGACATAAAGACTAACTATATAAAACTGGCAGTCCAGGAAGAGACCCATATATTTGTGACCAGCTGGATTCTGAAAGGGTACCAATACAATTCTCTGAGAGCTTGGACAACTGAATTTCTAGACATGGGAGAATGAAGACAGGCTCTTGCATTACACCATGTAAAAAATGAATTCAAAATAGATGCAAGACCCATAAAACTCTTCTAAGAAGAGATAATGTTAACTCTTTATGACCTTCACTTTAGCAGTAGATTCTTATACATGACATAAGGGCACATGCCATAACAAAATTTTGATATTTCATGAAAACTGAAACATTTTACATATTAATAAGACATCATCAGCAAAGTGAAAACCAATCTATGTATAAATTATGTCTGGTAAAGGTTTAGTATACATAGAACTGGGATACACATTCTCTCTCTCTCTCTCTCTCTCTCTCTCTCTCTCTCTCTCCTTTCCTCCCTCCTCCTTCCCTCCTTCCCTCTCTAACAAAGAGGCAAACAACTGATTAAGAAACTAGAGCTTAAAAATACATGTTTTTTAATGGCATCCTAGAAATGGTTAACCAACAAATGAAAAAGTGTTTGACCACTGTGGTAGCTTGAATCAGAACGGCCCCAACAAGCTCATATGTTTGAATACTTGGCCCCCAGTTGGTGAAACTGGGAAGGGTTAGGAGGTATGGCCTTGTTGGAAGAGGTATGTAACTGGGGGTTGGTTTCAGGTTTTGAAAGCCCATACTATTCCAGTTAGCACTCTCTCTCTGTTGTTGCCTGCAGATCATGATGTAAGTTCTCAGCTACTGCTCTAGCACCTGCCTGCTTGTTGCCATGCTCCCCACCACATTAGTCACGGACTCATCCTCTGAAACTGTAAACCACCAGTAAACTCTTCTTCTGTCAGTTGCCTTGGTCATGGTGTTTTGTCATAGCAGTAGAAAAGTAATTAAGACAACTCTCATTAGCTATTAGAAAAATGTTTATCAAGAACACAATAAAATACCACTTCATACCCATTATGATGACTAACACAAAAAGGTCTGGTACTACATATAGACAAAATTGCAGAAAAATTGGAGAACCCTTATATAAGGGTTCTGAGAATAGGAAATGGTACCCAATTTGAAAAACAGTTTGATTGTTCCTTAAAAATTTAACACCACATGATCCAGTAATTCCACCCAGAAAAACTAAAGAACAAAGATTGAAGAAATACTTGTACATAAATTTTCATAGTGAAACACTGTGGAATATGACATATGGAATATTGCTCATTCACAAAAAGAAAAGACATACTAATATATGCTACAGCATAGACACTGCAAATACATTATACTAAGTCAAAGAAATTATACAAAAGGCCATATGATTACATTTATATAAAATATCTAGAACAGGTAAATCCATAAATATTGAATTGCTAGGGTGTAGAGAGATTGACAGAAATGAAAAGTGACAGTTTGAGGGATGTAGTTTTGAATTTTTTAGGCAAGATGATGAAAACTTAGAATTTGACAGAGGTTGTGGCTGTACACTACTGTGAATGGACTAAATGCCACTGAGTCATATACTTCAAAACAGTCTTTATGTGGATTTTACTTCAGTGATTTAAAAGAATAAGATCATGATGGGCTGGAGAGATGATGGTTCAACAGTTCAGAGCACTTGCTGCTTTTTGGTTTCCAGCACCCACACGGCAGCTCACAACTGTCTGTAATTCCAGTTTAAGCAGATCCGATGCCCTCTTCTGGTCTACGAAAGCATTGCATGCATGTAGTACACTTAAAAATACATGCAAGCAAAATATTTACAGAAAATTAAAAAAAAATCCTTAGAAAAGAACATGGTGATATTTTTCTACTAACCCGGTGAATAATTCCAGCAGAGTGAAGGTGCTTGATTCCACACAGCATTTGATAGAGAAGGTAGGACATTCTTTCATGATCTAACTCCATCTGAATCACTTGGCAAAGATTTGCATCCATGAGCTCCATGACTATGTAACTTCATGGGTAGAAAAAGATGACAGCTAAAGTGTATAGCAACAATCTATGGACAGGTACTAGTAAAACTTTGTATCAACAGCATTCATTCTAAATACCACACTTACACATCTTGAAATTCTTCTAGGGATTTCTGTGGTGTGAAAACATTCAAAAGGCCAATTATCTGTGGCAAAAGCAAAGAAATAAAAACATTAGAAACTACTTTCTAATACTTCATTTGAGAACTGCAAATACATGTATTATAATAATTCACTATCAGTTTAAAATCATCCAATTTTTATATACTAAGCACAAATAATACTACATGTTTACTAAAATTTCATTGCTAGGAATTGGAGAAAAGAAAAAGAATGACCAGGAGGAACAAAAGATCTTTGGGGCAAATAAAAATGAGTTAACTATAAAGGTGGAAATGTATACATAAATACCACACACTAATTCAAACTCATAGATTCTCTTATCCAAGTGAATCCCAGGGACTGAGGATATAGTTCAGCCGTCATGTTTACTTAGCATGCAGAGACACTGAGTAAATTTCCTAGCACCAAAAAGAAAAAAAGAGTGTTGGAGAGATGGTTCAGCAGTTAAAAAGCATTGGCTGCTTTTCCAGGGGTCCTGAGTTCAAGTCCCAGCAACCACAAGGTGGCTCACAACTATCCATAATGAGATCTGGTACCCTCCTCTGGTCTGCAGGCATACATGCAGGCAGAACGCTGTATACATAAGTAAATAAATCTTTTAAAAAAATAAAAAGAAAAAATAGAGTGTAATCTAATGTAAATTGTGGGATTTGGGTGATACATTAATGCAGGTTTATCAGTTATGACAAATGTACTATTCAGACGGGGTGCTATATACATACAAGGACAAATACATACAAGCTTGTATCTTTCTCTCCCATATGCTATGAAATTGTCCTAAAAGTCTTAATATTCGATGACAAATTATGTAGGGATTTATACAAAATAAGTGCCTGATAGAGCATAAATAAAAAGTGTTACGTGAAGCCATTCCATTGACTTTGAAGGACAACTATCCTACTTGGTCTTCAGTTACTATCCAGGTCATTCCTACATTCAGTACACCATAACAGAATCTTATTCTCGTAATAAGCTCATCCTAGACCACATAGATCCTTGTTAGAAAAAAGGAATGAGCTAACATGCTTTCACAGGCCAGTATACAACAATGTACTTGACTTACATTTTTAAATGTCTGATGGCGATTTAGGTTAAAAAGAGGTTGCTCATTCGTTTCCTGACCCAAATAATCACACAAAAAACTGTTTAGGTGTATTTCTATCTAGCTCTTAAATCTTAAATTAACCCATTTGTATTATTTTATATTTTACCATGAGGCTTGTGGTTTAATGGTAAGGTTCTGGCATCTTTATCCTTCAGCAACTATATGACATCTCCCTGACTCCGCCTTCTTTCTCCCTACATTCAGTTTAGTTTTCCCACCTAGTTCTATTCTGCCCTGCCATAGGCCAAAGCAGCTTCCTTAATAACCAATGGTAATAAAACATATTCACAGCATACAGAGGGGAATCTCACATCAATTTAGGAAAAGGAATGCTTTTCTAAACATAATCTTCATGGGGACAGCATGGATGCCACTCATGAATGCATTAAGCTCTGCTTGCAGAAGGCATCTGCCAGTAAATATTCAGAAAAACATGAAACCAGAAAGGACAAAACTAATTATTTAAGACAGAGGGAATAACTGGGTAGAGAGATAGCTTCGTGATCAAGAGCACTGGATGCTCTTCCGGAGGACCTGGGCTCAATTCCCAACACCCACATGCCTGTAACTTCAGTTCCAGGGGATCTGACACTCTCGTGCAGACATAGATGCAGGCAAAAAAACAAATGAACATAAAATAAATAAATCCTTTAAAAAAAAAAAAAAGAAACCTGCCAGTGGTAGTGGTGAACAGCTTTAATCCCAGCACTCAGGATACAGAAGTAGGTAGATCTCTGTGAGTTCAAGGTCAGTATGGTTTACAGAGCAAATTATAGGTCAGTGAAGGCTAAAGGCATATATAGAAACAAAAATGGGATTAAGAAATGCTTAGAGCTGCTGGGTGTAAGAGATAGGGAAGAACAACAAAAGGACATAGGGTTTCTTTCTGGATATATATATATATATATATATATATATATATATATATATGCGAACATATTAAACTACTCAACTGTATACTTTAGGCAAATGAAGACACATCTGTCTTATTTTTTTAAAAAAACTAAATAAATTATCTTAATCAGATTAGATAGTCAAGCAAAAGTCAAGGACTGACTAGTGGATGAGCTATGGCTAGATAGCAAAGAACTAATAATTACCATGACCAAGTAAAAACTTACTGAAAAACATTATTTTTCTCTATGGACAAAACAACAACAAAGAAGAACAGTAACTAGATAATGCAGCTAGATATAACATATAAAGATTTCTAAAAGATATTTATGAAAATGTCTCTAATAATATGCATGTGAACACAAAGAATTAGGGTAGCTGAACAATTCTGATAGATATGCATGGGAACTTCTACAACACGCTCAACAGTTGCAGCTATTATGAAGACAATTCAAGCAATTCTGGGAAGTAAAGCCAGTAAATGTAAAATCAGAATGAAGAGGTGGGGGGCAGGGTAACCCCAAACACTCTGGGGAGGACAGCCACACTTTATCACTGATATCTAAATGAGAACAGAAAGTACTATACTTAATTCTCCCAAACCAGCAGAATACAATGTGACTTGCTATCAGGTCCTTGGCCACTACTTGTTAGTCAAGTGGTCTGCAATAGAGAGACAAGCCTCAACAGCTATTAGAGGAATCCATCAGATACTGTGTGTTAAGTCTCATCAGAGTGACCAGGTTAAAAGAGAAACTAAAAATTACAAAAACCTTGAAAACAGTAGGAAAAACATCATTTCAAGATGATCTGTGCAGAACAGAAAGTGCTGAAAAAATAAAACATTACATAAAATCCAGCATACACCAGGGGTGGCAGGGTGAAACTGCCTGCTATTCATGGCTTCCATCATATTAGTTTTATGTTCATTCAATAAACAAACCATGTTAAACACCCAATCTGGGACACTTTCGATGGCTAAGCACACAAGACATGCTTCCCAAACTCTCCATACTGTAGATGGAACATCTTTGTTGCCACCCAGGGTGGAGAAAGAAGTATTTGAATTCAACAAAGAAAAACCGAGGCAACACCTCCACTGCCTTAAAGAAACTAGGCCCAAAGACTAAAAGGGGCATGAGCAGCTCTAGTAGAAGAAAGGCCACAAGCAGAACTCTGACAAGCACCACATCTGGCTCCTACCTGCAACAAGTAACTACAATTTCTTCCTTGATAACCCCTCTTCCTCTGTCATCCCCTTTCCCAAAAATCTAACTTTTACTCCATCTTTAAGAGTCAAAGTCTAGTCTTGAGCCCTTTAAGCCTTCCCAGTTCATTGAAACTCAAAGAAGTCTCTCTCTTGAGATGTCAGCATGCACTGTCTGCCCTCTACTATCTGACAGTTAAATTACTACTGCTTTTTGGTATCTAACTCTCATCATGCTTCACTGCCTCCAAAACAACAGCATAAACTTCCCAAATAATAAGGCCAATCATTAACATCTATATAGTTCCCATTGGTGATGACTTTAATATACAAAGGTTCTTTGCGTGGTTAGCTCTCAAAATGTGATGAATTGTATTTTCTACACCAGAAAGTATGGAAATCATTAAATCTTATAAATTTCTTTGGATAATGTCTCTGGCTAGCACTTTCAGTTTAGTGCTCCATAAAACTGTCCTTTCTGCAATTCTCTCCTAGTTTATGCCCTCCTAGTTTGGAAGGACTGTCCTGTTAAGATAGTCACAAACATATCAGTAAGCTTAATGTAAACTTAAAAACATTTAACTGGAGCTGGAAAGATGGCTCAGTGGTTAAGAGCAGAGGTTGCTCTTCCAGAGGTCCTGAGCTCAATTCCAAAAAACCACATTATGGCTCATAACCATCTAGAATGGGATCTGATACCCTCCTTTTGGCATGAAAAGAAAAATAACTGTTCTATTTTCAAAATGAATAAAAGTTTTATCTTCAAGTTAGAAATGCTTTCCTCATTCTCTGTAAATATTTCCAAAGTTTTCGTTCAACTGTTATTATCAGCGGTTATCTGAGTAAAAGTACTGATACCACTTAGAAGAAGTCAGAATTGGTTGCAAAGAAGTTATTTGAACTTTGATTCCTATTAAGTTCCAATGTCCAAGTGCAATGGGAATGATTTCGTCTCTGTACAGTTTTCTGAAATGCCAGTTTTACAGGGAACAAAAAACCTAAGATGAGAAAAATTCTGAATAAAATGCTTTTCAAATACTTATCTCCCTAAAACTCTATAAATTAAATGCCAGAAAACTAACCATTTAAATTTCAGATCTCATTTTTCCACTTTTGGTACTACTTACTAAAGAGGGTAGGGAGTAGGGATGGAGGGAAAGTCTGTAGATTTTAAATAATGTTTCAATGTAGAGAATTTAAAGTCCCTAATATTTTTTTAAAAAGCCTTTGGCAGGCATATATTCATGAATAAATCTTGATTTCATTTATACTTAAGAAGCATGAAATATTCACTTACATTTTTGTGATTAACACATTTCATAAGAACTAGTTCTCGGTAGGCTCGCTTAGCATGAGTCTGATTCTGAAATGGCCGGCTGAGTTTCTTGATTGCAACATTTCTTTCAAGAATGGCATCATAAGCTGCACTGTAATAAGAAATTAAAAATAAACATTAAGCACAAAATTCTAAAACCAAATTTACAAAGCAATCACATAGACTCCTTACTTTCTTCACTGAGACTGTGTCACCCAAGATCCCTCAGCATGGGTGGACACAAGTGCCTAAGTTCTTTTTGTCTTTTTTAAATGCATTTAAAAAGTGTATTCATTTTGTATGTTTTGGGAGGGGGCAGGTAAGAGTATTTCCCTTATACAATTCTGTTAGATTTTAATATTTTCCCACAATTGTTCTGAGTTTTTTAAAAAGAGAAACATATTATAGGTAAAGACTTCTTCCTCTTCTGTTCTCAGAGGTAAGCTTTTATCTTTTCTGCATATGTAGCCAATCCAAAGTATATAGAACTCCTTTGCATATCTGATATTTTGCGGAGAAATTAATACAATATGGTGGGGTTTTTTGTAGATGGTTCTAACACTCAGGTCTATACTTCTGACAGTGTCCATCTGACACAGACAGCTCCACTTCATTTTAAATGTTGTACAGTACTTTGCTGTTTCATACGTATCATAACGTTTTATTCTCCTGTTGCCAGACTTGATGCTGTTTCAACTTCTGCTATAGAAATAACACTTTAAAGAACAGTATTATGTACACGTATTTGTGGACAGATGCAAGAGCTTTTCTAGAACCTCATAAACATGCTGGGTCAGAAACACTCCCAATTCTTTTAGCAGATTTTAAATAAATTTTGCTTGTTTAAGAAGCAATAAAGATGTAATTATGCTTGGGTATGGCTGGCTTATCATTTCCCCAAGGTTATAATGCTAACTTAGTGATTCTGAGTCAGTAGGAGAACTATCCCAAGGACTGTATGTACTTCAATTTATAAAGAATTATGTTCATCTATAAAACCTGGGCCTTTTTTATAGAAGTTATCTTGTAAAACAACTTTAAAGATATACAAGTTCAGAAACATACAAAGATGTATTAGCTGATGTATTCCCCAATTTATGAGATTTCTGATCCACTACAGAGTGAAAGTGAGAAAGGCAGGCATCTCACTGATCAGTTATAGGAATAGATGCATTCACAGAACGAACTTCCTTTTTCGTGATATAAGTGCATGTCTCTATATGACTCTAAGTACATATTTAATCATATTTTGTATTTCAAAATACTATTGTTGGTTAATAGTTACAGCTTAGGAATAATAAAAAAGACCAGTAATCTCTGAGGAAAAATTACCACATTATAGCTTTCATTTATATAGTATTGATTTCTTTCTTTCTCTCTTTTTTTTTGCATAAAGTTGATTACTTACCAAAGGATTTACATTACAAAGAGGAGAAAAGGCAACAGTTAAAGACTGCTGCCTTCCTTATTTTGAAATAAAAACTTACCACACTATTCCTTGAGCTCCTGAGCCTATAGGTTTTAAATTCTGGTATCGCTTTAGGACTGTGAATGTAGAATCTCCAATCTCTACACTATAAAAATTGTTGTCACGCTTGCTTCTGCTCATGATGGCAAGCAATTAATTTAATGGCTTCATCCAAATATTCACCGAGGCTGCAAAATTTAAAAAAAAAGTGACATAAGAAAATGATTTTGTCTAGTATTAGCATCTAAGTCCTCACTTTATCCACCATAGTAACACAGACTGCTAGCTCATCCTCAATAAGAAGAGAACATCACCAAAACCAAAACCACCACAGACTTTTGCTCAGTACATGTTACATGTAAGTAACTACTGACTGGTTCTTCAAAAACATTTTTTCATATTTTAGTACACAATACTCTGTCTGTGTGCATGCCTGCAGGCCAGAAGAGGGCACCAGACCTCACCACAGATGGTTGTGAGCCACCATGTAGTTGCCAGGAACTGAACCCAGGACCTTTGGAAGAGCAGGCAATGCTCCCAACCACTGAGCCATCTCTCTAGCCCCAAAAACATTTTTATTATGGTGAACTGTTTCTCTAATCTTTAAGTCACTGGCATTACTGCACACTTACCTAATAGAAACAAAACAAAAACAAAAAGCAAAAGAGGGGCTGGGGAGGTAAGTTAGCCAGTAAAGAGTTTGTCACATAGAATACAAGTGCCAGCATCCACATCAAAAACCGGGTTAATTAAAGCACTGTGTGCGGTCCTAGTGAGAAGGAGGTGGGCATGGGAAGATGCCTGGGCTCCCTGGACATCAAGCTTAACCATGTCAGCAAGCCCCACATCCCAGGAAGATGATGTCTCAAAATATAGTAGCTAGCTCCTGAGGAACAGCTGGAGTTGACCTCTGACCTCCACAAACACATGTACCCCTCCATAAACACAAAAGAAAAGTAAGCAAATAATTATATTAACATGTTCTAGAACGCATTTCTACAATGGAAAGCAAGGTAGTAAATTATTAGCACAAATTGCACCTGCTTAACAAACAAGGGTCTTTTTTTTGTGCTATGTTCTCTAACAGTCAACAGCAACATCTGGTACAACTACAACAGCTGCAAGAATAAGAAGCAGGATAGAAAACTTAAGATCAAGAAGGGAGGGTTCATACATTAGTATACAAATAATTCAATTCCAATGTCTTTAGAGCACCTAACAATTTGTCTCAGTTTTGACAATTCCTGACTGCCTGCCAGATTAAAAATCAAAGCCATCCTTTTTTTTCCTCATTTGAATGTTGAAATACTGACAAATCTCTCCTTCCTTACTATACAAGTATTCTATTCTAGAATGCTTGCACTGGATATATAGGTTGGACCTATAATTCTGGCATGCTGGAAGCTGATGCACAGAGGACTATTTAAGCCCAGGAATCTGAAAGTAGCCCAGGTAACATAGACTCCATTTAAAACAAGGTAAACAAAATGCAAACAAGACAGTTCTAAGTTACCATTTACCAACCCAGTAAGTCACCAATCCAGTGGAATCCAAAGAACAGCTGTATGTGTGTCTTTGTGTGTGTGTTTTGCTGAGAAGTGGTGGAGGGGGGTGGGTGTTAAGGCAATGACAATAACAATAAAAGTTCTTTGACAACTTTTTTTCTTTTTTTTTAAATTGATTTTTATTGAGCTCTACATTTTTCTCTGCTCCCCTCCCTGACTCTCCCCTCCTCCCTAGGTCCCCACGCTCCCAATTTACTCAGGAGATCTTGTCTTTTTCTATTTCCTATGTAGATTAGATCTATATGTTTCTTAGTGTCCTCATTGCTGTCTAAATTCTTTGGGATTGTGTTTTGTAGGCTGGTTTTCTTTGCTTTATGTTTAAAAACCATCTATGTGTGAGTACATGTGATAATTGTCTTTCTGTATCTGGGTTACCTCACTCAAAATAATGTTTTCTAAGCTCCATCCATTGTCCTGCAAAATTCAAGGTGTTGTTATTTTATTTTTTTTTGTGTGTGTGTTCCATTGTGTAAATGTACCACATATTCCTCATCCATTCTTCGGTCAAGGAGCATTTAGGTTGTTTCCAGGTTCTGGCTATGACAAACAATGCTGCTATGAACATAGTTGAGCACATGTCCTTATGGCACGATTGAGCATCCTTTGGATATATAGCTAAAAGTGGTACTACTGGGTCTTGAGGAAAGTTGCTTCCTAATTTTCTGAGAAATCACCACACTGACATCCAAAGGGGCTGTACTAGCTTGCACTCCCACCAGCAATGCGGAAGTGTTCCCTTTTCCCTACAACCTCTCCAGCATAAGTTGTCATCAGTGTTTTTGATCTTGGTCATTCTTACAGGTGTAAGATGGAATCTCAGAGTTGTTTTGATTTGCAATTCTCTGATGACTACGGATGCTTAACATTTCCTTAAGTGTCTTTCAGCCATTTTAGATTCCTCTGTTGAGAGTTCTCTGTTTAAGTCTGTACTCCATTTTTTTTTAAAAATTGGATTATGTGTTCTTTTGGTGGCCAATTTCTTGAGTTCTTTGTATATTTTGAAGATCAGACCTCTGTCTGATGTAGGGTCAGTGAAGATCTTTTCCCATTCTGTAGGCTGTCGTTTTGTCTTGTTGACTGTGTCCTTTGCTTTAAAGAAGCTTTTTAGTTTCAGGAGGTCCGATTTATTGTTTTTCACAGTGTCTGTGCTACTAGGTTTATATTTAGGAAGTGATCTCCTGGGCCAACGCCTTCAAGTTTATTTCCCACTTTCTCTTCTAAAAGGTTCAGTGCGGCTGGCTTTATGTTGAGGTCTTTGATCCATTTGGACTTGAGTTTTGTGCATGGTGAAAGATACATATTGATGTCCAGTTATGCCAGCACCACTTGTTAAATATGCTTTCTTTTTTCTATTTGATATTTTTTGCTTCTTTGTCAAAGATCAGGTGTTCAAAGGAGTATGGATTAATATCCAGGTCTTTCTTCTATTCGATTTCACTGGTCCTCCTGTCTGTTCTTATACCAATACCAGGCTGTTCCTCCAGAAGTTCTTTTATTGTACAGGACTGTTTTGGCTATTCTGGGTTTTTTGCCTTTCCATATGAAGCTGAGGTCTGTGAAGAATTTTGCTGGGATTTTGTTTACAAGATAGTTTCTTTGTGTAGCCCTGTCTCTTCTGGCTGTACTCACTCTGTAGACCAGGTTAGCCTCAAACTCACCTGCCTCTGCTTCCTGAGTGCTGTGTTTGAAAGTGTATACCATCCACATCCAACTGACAACTTTTAATAAAAATAATTAACTCAATAAATACATGAGCAGCCTGAGGCCGGGTCAGAGGTCAGTGAGGAGGTCAGATGGAAGGTCTGGAAGGTGGGGAGCAAAATACTGATATTAGCCTGCAGGAGAATGATGAAGTAAGAAACTAGAAAAGCTACTTATAGTTCACAAAAGCGCTAGCTTTTTGGCTCCTCTAGCTTTCCTCAGAAACTGCATGGTTGAGGAACATCCTTTCTACTGCTGGCAGACCTGAGTGTTTGAGTGTTAAGAGCTTATGGCTATACTGACAGACTCAGGAGTCCATAGCTCCACGCTCTGACTCCTCAAGTCTTATGGCTCAAGACTCTAAGAGTCGGAGATTTACGGTCTAGATACCTAAACCGGGTGCTTATTACTCCGGCCTTTACTGGAGACTTGGCATTTGCCACCTAGTGTAAGCCCTGATCATATCTGAAGAGTACAAGGGATCACTTTTACTATCACCATGCCCTGTAGGGACCCAATTTCTAGAATCAGTATGTAAATATTTAACAGAGGCTTTACACCCAGTGGTTTCTTTTTTTCCTTTCCCTAGTTCTCTTTCCCGGATGTTTCCCTATTCTAACAGACAGGAGGACGATCAAGTTAAGACAGTTCAGATAGTTAAAGAGACTGGTGCAGAAAGGTGAGTTACTAACGGAGGATGCTGAAACCACTTAACCCTTCAGAATGAGCACTTTATAGGGATAGGTATATAGTTGGGCCTCAAGGTGGAAGAAAATTAGGAGGCAACATGATGGGGCCCCAAAAGGGAGGGGAGCCTTCCCTTCAAAATCTGAAAAGGAGCTTTGATGAAAGAAAGCATCAGTCCTCAGTGGAGAGGCAACTTTTTAAACAATTCCAGAAGAGAAAAACAAAGTGTACTTGAAGCAACATAACACAATATAGATATATTACCATGACATTTCAATTAACTGGTATCCAGGATCCTAAAATTATTTTGTATTCAAAACACAAATATCTTAATTATAGGAAGCTGGTTCTAGGCTTAGTTGAAATTAAATTAAAAGAATGCCAATTCTTCTCCATGACATTCAACTGAGTAAAAACAGGTGACCTGACTTGTAAGAAGGTGCCATTTTCTAAGGTACTCAAAAGGTATTTTGTTTTTATATCTAAGAATACTCTTCCCCCAATATAATTATTTTTATGTGATTATCTGAGAATTTCACACAATGCACCCAATCACACACGCTTCCCAGTCCTCCCAGGTTTACTCCCACCTTTATGCCCTCCCGCCAAAAGGAAGAAAAAGAAAAAAATACACCAAGTCCAATTTGTGTTGCCCATAAGAATACTTTATACACATGAATTTCTATATTAATACAGGAAGGAATTCCCTAGATTTATCTACTGTTTTTATTTTCCTCTTACAGTGTTAGAGATCACCCCAAGGCCTAGTGATGTTACTCAAATGCTCGCTCTACCAGTGATCTATACCTCAAGCCCAGTCTAACTCTGCTCCCCTTTTATACTGCCTATAGAACCCCAGAAATTTCTACCTTGCTCTTATCTTCTGTATCTGGTAAAGAATGTTTCTTGTGGGCCAGAAGTTACTCTTCAGGTGGGCTAGCCACACTGGCTGGACCTAAGATGGCCAGACAACCTCTAGCTTCACTACAATCTGCATTTCAAATGACACACCTACCACTGTCAAGACCAGATAACTGCTGTAACAACTGCCAGAAACATGAAAGGAATGTATTGGTACACACTGCTCGGAAAAAAATACATGGGAAAATTCTTTTTTTTTTTTTTTTAAAGAAAGAAGTGGCTGTCTTGGCTCACAGTATGAGTCCATCAGAAGGGAGTGATGAATGAATCTCGGCTATCTCAGCTTCCTTTCTCCTTTGCATGCAGTCTAGGAC